GACTGTGTAGGCTCTTCTCTTTGGATGTTAATGTAGTAGCCAAAGTTACTCTTAAAACCCTGAGACAAGACACTGGGACTAGAGGAGGGTGCTTTTAAGCTACTTCAAAATGCAGACCTAATGATGAAGTCTTATTACTGCATCATTTGTTCAACTTAAAATTGAAATGAGTATTGCATATAAAAAAGACAACAAAGTAAATTTGCGTAGTTCCTCTCAAGCAAACCTGCTTGTAATGGAAGTCCAGTAGTGAAAATGATTTTTCACATGAATTTTGTGTAAAATTGCTTTGAGTATTTGGTTTTGAAGGTTTCTAGAAAACTTGTCCTTTTTTGTCTGTTACTGCTGCAGGATTGGTGAGGCAATGTCCAGCTTTCTCTGGGGCTACCAAGGCAGCAAGGATAAAAATAGGGCAAACTTTAAGAATCCCAGATATTTTCAGATAACAAAGACTGATTTATGTGGGCCCATTTTGCGCTCTGACAAAACATAGAGAAGCTTTTGTGCTGTGATTAGCAGGGGTGCTGATGTCAGTTCTCTTGTCGAGCATCAAGCTTTATTCTGTGGCTAAATTGTGCTTTGTACCATAATCCAGAGAACCTTTGTATCTGCCTTATTAAAGTGTGTAGTTTATGTAATTGCTTTTGTTTTCCAGTTTAATCTGTGCCAGATTCGATGAGAGTGACTCATTTTGTGACTGAGACAAACATTCACATTTGGACCATGTTAAAAATAAATAAGTGGCAGGTGCTGTTGGCTAAAGTCTGTGTTTTAATGTTGTAATTTCCTGCTGTAAGGGTTCCTCTCTTATCCTCTGTAATCGCTAGTGCAACCTATCTACTGCACCCTGATTGATTGCTACTCATTTCTTGGCTATTTATTTTAGTTTCCAAGAGCCTTTTAAGTTTGAACAATATCATTTCATCAGAGAAGCAAAGAAATGGCAAGGGGGCCACAGTTAACTGGAAGGCAAAGAGTGACACATAAGCCGTAGCAGAAGGACACCTTCCATTCTTTTCTTTTTCCCAAGGTGTTTTGTGCATGTGTTTTGGTAAAGCTGTCTTAGTTATGTTTATTTTATTATGCATATGTTCAGTATTGGAGCTCTTTTTCTCAAGTGGAAGAGTTTTTGAAAGCACGCCTTTCTATTCAACGTGGCCCATCTATCTAATCTAATATTCTCAAAATTTTACAACTGTAGAGTCTTCGGGGAATTCTCTTTATTGTACAAATATTTCTAGGTACCAGACGCTGTGCTATGCATTGAGTATGTAATGACAAATTGTCACTGTCTTCATGGACTTTACAGTCTGCTGAGGGAGTTAGGTGTTAAATAAATACAAAGAAAATTTAAATTTCAAAATGACAATAATCACTACATAGGTAATAAAGTGTATTACATAGGCAATAAGATCCTGAAATTGTGCCCTACTTTACATTAGGGGCCACTGGGAAGCGAAGGCCTAGAAGGTCAGAGTCAGCCTGCCGAAGACAAGGAAAGAACATACTAGACTCAGGAAATGGCATGTGTAAAGTCTCTGCGGCAGGAAACAGTTTGGCATCCTATTAACTGTATTATTAGAAGAGAGAAGTGACAATTGATAAGCCTAACTGTACTAAGAAGATTATAGATGAACTATAGGAGCACAGCAGTATGGTACTGTTTAGCATAGGGGCAAATGATCCTCCATACAGTTCAGTAGCCTTTGAGAGCTTCCCTAAAAGTGCAGAATAGAGATTGATGCCTGTAATACTAAGTGAGTCACTGGGGACTGGATGAATTATGTTCAATGAATTATGTAGTAAGGCATTTTAGAAAGATTTCCATACAAGACATTAAAGTTTTAAAAAGTCATTTCTGTATTTAAAGACAGAACCTTCACTATCTGGAGAAATCACTTACTAAAAGATAGGATTCCTCGATGGCCCTAGATAAATGATATAATACTGTATTTTCTTTTCTCCTTACTTCTCTATTACTTTTGCAAGCTTCCTGCTTGATAGGGAGGTATCCATAGAAGCATAACTTTACTAAGAGATGTTATTTATTTATTTTGAAGTAAATAGATGTCTTATGTGGTAACTAAATGGATTTTTGTAATCCAGAAACCAGTGCTGAATTTATGTGAATTAACACATCATGATTTTTCAGTGTTCTCTAATGCATGTGTAAGAACTCCCCACTGCCTTCTCCTTCTGGACACCACTAATTATTTACTCTTTACTTGGAGCTGTAGTCAGACTGGGATGTTAATTTAAAACCTTGATGACATTAAAGAACTACATAATATTTTTAGGCCTTTGTGATATTTCTACCAATATTGTTGAAGAGGATTGCACCCAGGTTTTCCAGGAAGGAATGTTTCTCCATTAAGCGATAGTTCTGCAGATACTTTGCCGGGTTTGCTATATTCTCAAATATTTTCATGTATGGTAAATGTTTTCTTCATTATTAGTCAACTCCTTGAGAGTAGCATCATGAATTACCTACTTGTATTTCTTCCTACAGGTGTTTACAATATAATCAATAATTTACTGACTGGTTAACTCGTTGATTTACCTTTTAGTGTATCTATATTTCCTTGAATGGATACAATTTAAAGAATCTATTAAATATTAAACCTAAAGTTATCACCCAAGTTAATTCAGTTATGGGTGCAGTTGTCCAGGTTAGTAAAGAGGAAGACCTTCAGAGAGGAGTAAGATTTTGTATTGTTTCTGGGCAGAGTTGTTGGTTTTAAAGACAGCTGAAGCTGACTGTTTCAGTCATTTGGTTCTGCTTTTATTATTTAACCAGTGTAGATTTCAGGGAGAGTAATAGTACAAGAATTTAAGGTTTCTTCAGGCATAGCATCATATTCAAAATTTACCAAAGCTTGTGGAGAGAATACATTCTGTGAGTACATATCCAGATTGCCAATATATGTTTGTTGGGAAGAGAAGGAGAAAGGGAAAGGAGAAGGAAGATTGCAACCTATAGTCAAAGAATACAGATCTTACCCCTGTGGTCTTTGAACAATAGACTGACCAGAAGAAAGACACAGTCCATTTCTTTGCTTGCTTTTCTTTTCTTTTTTTTTTTAAAGATTTTATTTATTTATTTGACAGAGAGAGCGAGAGAGGGAACACAAGCAGGGGGAGTGGTAGAGGGAGAAGCAGGCTCTCCGCCGAGCAGGGAGCCCGATGCGGGACTCGATCCCAGGACCCTGGGATCATAACCTGAGCCGAAGGCAAATGCTTAATGACTGAGCTACCCAGGCGCCCCTCTTTGCTTGCTTTTCAAGTGAGAAATCGGGAAAGCTTCTGAACCCTTCCCCCCCCAACTCCTTGCAACCCCCCCCACACACACACACAAAAGAGAGAGAGAAATCTATAGCTTAAAATACAAAGGAGTCTTTTGAAGCATCTTTATGTATTCTTTATGGCATGATATTAAGGCATGAAAAAACATTGCTTTTTTTTAATGCGGTAAGATATACCTAACATAAAATTTACCATTTTAACCATTTTCAAGTGTACAGTTTCAGTGGCATGAAGTACATTCACTTTGTTTTGCAGCCATCACCACTGTCCATCTCCAGAACTGTCCATCTTCCTAAAACTGTACCCACTAAACACTAACTCCTTATCCCTGCCTTCCAGCCACTGGCAACTACCATTCTGCGTTTTGTCTCTATGAATTTGATTACCAGTAGGTACCTTATATAAGTGGAGTTATACAGTTTTTTGTCCTTTAGTGACTGGCTTTTTTCACTTAGCATCACGTCTCAAGATTCATCCATGTTATGGCATGTGTCAGATTTTTATTCCCTTTTAAGACTAAATAATATCCCATTATGTGTGTTGTGTATACCACATTTTATTCATTTCTTCATTCAGCAGTGGACACTTGGGCTGCTTCTACCTTTCGACTGCTGTGGATAATGCTACTATAAACATGGGTGTACAAATACCTGTTTGAGACCTGGCTTTCAATTCTCTTGGATATTTATTCACAACTGAAATCTTTGGAGGAACTGCCATACCGTTTTCCATACCAGTTACATCATTTTGCATTCCCATCAGCAATGCACAATGGTTCCAATTTCTGCCATCGTGGCCAACACTTGTTATTTTCTGCTTTTTTGATAACAGACATTCTAATGTGTATGAAGTTGTGTCTCATTGTGGGTTTGATTTCCATTTCTCTAAATGATAATGATGTTGAACATCTTTTCATGTGCTTACTGGTCATTTACATATCTTTGGAGAATCTGTTCAAGTCCTTTGCCCATTTTTAAATTGGGTTATTTTTGTTGTTATCGAGTTGTAGGATTCTTTATATATTCTAGACGTTAATCTTTTATCAGATAAATTATTTGCAGATATTTTATTCTATGAGTTGGCTTTTCACTCTATTGATCGAGTCTTTCAGTGTGTAAATTTTAAATTTTGATGTATACCTATATTTTTGTGTGTTTCTTCTGCACCCTTAGTGTCATATCCAGTAGATCATTGCCAAATCTGATGTTATGAAGCTTTTCCCTGTTTTCTCTTAAGAGTTTTATAGTCTTAGCTCCTACGTTTAGGTCTTTGATGCATTTTGAGTTAATTTCTGTATGATGTAAAGAGTCCCAAATCCATTCTTTTGCATGTGGATACCCAGTTTTCCTGGTTCCATTTGTTGAAACCATTGCTTTTTTATATTTAGTAAAAACTACGTCTTCCTTGTTGTCTTGATATTACATATCAGTGTAATATCTTCTGATAACAATCAGTATCTTCTAGTCTCCTATTAGAAGGTCTAATAGAACATAATAAATATGTATATATAGACATATTATTAAGTTAATTGAGGCATCAGTAAATTTTGCTGGAGCGGTAGATTATTCTGTGGAAACAAAACATGTATGTGACTTTCTCTAGACATTACATTTGTAAAATTGGTTTGATAAGTGTGCACTTTCTTGAAAAATTTCTGTCAAATTAATACTAGATGGATATTTTTGTTTTGTTCCCAGGCATGGAAGAGGAGATGGTTTGTGTTACGCAGTGGTCGCTTAACTGGAGATCCAGATGTCTTGGAATATTACAAAAATGATCATGCCAAGAAGCCTATCCGTATTATTGATTTAAACTTATGTCAGCAAGTTGATGCTGGATTGACGTTTAACAAAAAAGAGTTTGAAAACAGCTACATTTTTGATATCAACACCATTGACCGAATATTCTACTTGGTAGCAGACAGTGAGGAAGAGATGAATAAGTGGGTTCGTTGTATTTGTGACATCTGTGGGTTTAATCCTACAGAAGAAGGTAAGCTCAAGATTTTATTATTCCACCTGAGTTCTCCTTTATTACTGCATTTTTAGAACTGTTATAAAATTCTTTATTATTTCAATTACACAATATAATATTGTTTACCTTTTTATAATAGCTAACAAACAACATTTGGAAAAAAAGCACTAAAGTCTTTAATCATTTTGGGGAGAAATTTTTTCTAGGTTTTAGGGGAGACTTAGCCATTGTGGGACCGTGTCTAAATAAATGTCTTGAAAAAAGGTGACAAGAAGACATACTTATTTAAGAGCATTTCTTGCGTCTGTATATATCAAATTGAACCTTATAGCACTGCTGATATTTGACTTTTTCACCTATTAAAAGCATCATTTTCATGTGACTCAATTCTTTAGATGTTATCTTAAAAACTCTATTGGATTATGAAGTTAGGAAATAGCCAAGACGATTATCAATACCTATGAAAAGCAAATGACAATCAGTCACAAAACATGATGAACAAGTAACAAATGAGTTTGCTTAACACAGAGGTCCTAAAAAGAGCAAGGAGGGAGAGGAGGCTCAAGGTTTGGATAAGCGTAGTGAAAAAAAGCTTCTCAGGTAAACTCTAGGCTTTTGAAGGAAGTAGTATTTCTACATAAGTGAAAAAAAGGGATACAAAACCCTCTAGACTTAGGGGCAAGGGAGAGAAATGACCTGGAGGTGGAACAGCATTCCACGTGACTGGAGCAGGGGGCTGTGAATGATAAAGGCAGGGGGAGAGTTGCTTGAGGAGCTGAGATTTGGAGTGCCTGTCCTGGGAAGAGCTGAGTGGGTAGAGGTCTCATGAAGAATTTTACAGGTGGAATTCCTCTTCAGGTGCTTTTATATAGCTTTCCTGACCACTTAGTCCCTGTCCACTTCTCTACTTCTCTTCCATTTATAACAAACACCTGTCTAGGGGACTCCAACACACATTTAGGTTCGTAAAGCCGAAAATCAGAAATAAAGGCGGTCTGAGGTCTTTGTACCTTACCGTCTTCATGGTTATACTCACGTTTACGGTGTGCATTTCCAAATATCTATATTTAGGAGTGCCGGAGGTTTGGTGAGGGCTGGAAAAATTGCATCAACAGTCAACATCAAGTTTTGGATTGAAGTGAAAGAGCAATCATCTCTAATTAGCTCAGGTCAGCCTGCTGCTTCCTTTCTGGCCAGTCAGCGGCCCACAAGAAGAAGCCTTCCAGGACTGGGATTGGCCCAGCGGGGCGGGGAAACCCCTTGGCGAGGGAATCCACAATCCTGAGGGGCAGCACTGAGACAGGAAAGGAGGCATCCAGTTTAGACAGGAGGTGGCTAATGAGCTAGAGCTTTTCAACAGAACTCTAGTGATTAAAAGCCTCAAGAAATTGTTTCACATGTGGAATTAAGGCTTTGGTGGTTTTTGTCAAGTACTAAATATGTTCACATTTTAAGTGGTTGTGGGGGTATTACTTCTAACTCCAGTTAAACTCCTTTCTTTTCTTCTTGCATATATAGTCTATATTTGAGTACAGTGGAGGATTTTAAAGTTAAAGTCACAAATGAGATAGGTCTCTAGTGGTTACTTAACGACCACTCAGTAATGATAATTTTTGGATTAAAATACTACATTAGGCTCATGATGTAATGGATTTTCAGTTAAAATAATTTAAGTCATTGTATACTCTTTGGGTTGATGATGTTCTTTTGCCTGCTACCGTTTCAGTTTAGAATTTGTTTTTAGTGACATAAAAAGTAGACTTCTGTCCTCATCGGTTGCCTGTATCGATTCTGTTGATCTGAAAGACTGAGTAGTAGGTGTTCTTCCATCTCTCTTTGTTTTCTATATAATTCTCCTAAATATAATTAACAAAGGAAATGAGATACCCTCCTAGAGGAGATACATTCTTCAGTCAAGGAATGGTATAATTTTTGGAAGCCCATTCAGGGGTGGGTAGAGTTGAGGACCCCCCCCCAATAAGAATTTCGAATGCACAAGTATCTGAGATTAACTTTGCAAGTTTCAAGGCATAAAGTCTGGTCCATTTGTCCACCTTAAGATGACTCTCATCATCTGAGAGTTTGATGAACACCCAGTCATCTCTGGAAAGAAGGAAAGTTTTGTTTGCTTTAGAAAATTGATTCATTAATTTACCAAATTATTGAATTTGCCAACACTCAACTAAACTTTGGACATTCGTTTAACCTACGTATTATTAGGTGACAGGGAGACCGATGCCAAACATTATAGACATGGAACTGAGTGAGCATCTAGTGGGGAAGGAGTCATACCCATAATAATTCATTACAGTTGGTGAGCACAAGATACATAATATACGTGTGTGTATGTGTGTGTATATACATATACACACACCCATATATGTATGTATATATATACATATATATGTGTATATATATGGTGTATAATCATACTTTACAATGCATTAAAGTATGATTATGTGCATATATTAAAGTATGATACTGTAAGACTATGTTAATACAGTTCTTGCCCTCATAGAGCTTATAGTCAGTCTAATAGACACAGGCAAATACTCTAGGAATAAGTGTCCTGGTAAAGAAGAAATAACACAGATAGCAGCTAATTTAAGAAGGTGAGGAAAAGTCTAGGTAGTTTTAAATGGTTCTGTGACTGCAGCTGATAATGTACTAAGAAGTTTATTTTGTACTTAGTGGAACATTTTCATTGATACTGGTGGTCAGAATCAGTCACAATGTCTATTTTTCACTTTATAAACTTAGTAATATAGGGAGGAGGACAAACTCCCAAATCCTTTTAAAACAGATAAAGTATATTTGCCTTGAATGAAACTCTCAACTTGTGAATGTTCTATCTTCACAATATCAATAAAGGGAGAGGTTGTAAGAAAACTAATAGTATTATTAGTCAAATTTGATATATGTAATGAGTTGGTTACCAACAACAGCTGTGCTAATCATAACTCATTTTTTATCGCTTCATTAAAACAAGCCACTAAGGACTTCAGTTAGCCAGTGCTTTCTAAATGTAGTTTACGAGCTATATCTAAACACAACTGCATTTGTTTTTTAAATTCTACAATATAGATTTTTTACAAGTTCATCCTGGCCTTCTCCCCAATAGCTACAATCAGAAATGTCTTACTCTGATGTTGAAGACTTGAGCTTCTCATAAATCATAAAGTTGTAAATAAATCAGTAAGTCCTAAATCAGTGAAAGATGAACAGTCCTTCATTGTGTAGTATCAAGGGGCCACAAAAATATTTTACTCTATAACTTTGATTTTTCATGCATAGTAGCAAAACTGCAAAAAGGCTTTAAAGTTAACCACTGTATTTTCTCTATTCATTTGTAGTAGCTGACTTTGCTAGATGCCTTTTAAAAAAAATCCACACATTTAAAGATTTGTACCAAATTCTGAACTGCAGAGAACTGCTATTATCCTTTGTGATCATGTTTGTACAGTTTAATATGACAAGATAAATATCAAAATGTCTGAGTTCTTCCATTTACTTTACCACCTGCTTTATATTCTCTTGCTTCCAAATAGATCTTCCCACCAATCACTAAATAATAGATGTTTTGTTTTTACCTAGATCTGTCCCCGGAGCCCTGTGCTGTTCCCATTTCAGAGTTGAGTATGCTCTCACTCTTGGCTTAAAACTAATGACACGAAACCATTTTTCACTCTACTCGTGTCAGGCTAGATGTGGGAAGAAATATCCTATGCTTGGATAGTACAGTCTGAGAAAATAACTATCCACAGTCCCTAGGAGAATAACTAGTTTTTGCTGAAAACAAAAGGAAAGGGGAAAAATCTGACCTGTGTTTTGATTCCAGGAACCTCCCAAAATATCGTTACCATGTTATTTCCGCTGCCCCAGGTGACCACTGCTATTATTGAATACTCAGAATGCTGGCAAGCTGAATCTGTTTTTAAATTCTAGCTCATTGAACTATGTGCGGTTCCTATGAATGCTTTTATTTAGCAGATTTGAGGGTAGAAACTAATTTCTTTTGTTTTTCTTGGAAATGTGCAGATTTATTTTTGTTTCTACACCGAGGTGGAAGCTGTTAAATCTGCTAAACAAGTGCCAGGAAACACAGCCTGAAGGCTCTAAACAGCTAACTAACTTGGCGCAAAGGCTCCTGTTCTAATTTCAGGGTGCAAGATTAGAAAGTTGCCCTTATCAGTCAGTTGAGTTGCTTTTCTCAGAATGCCCAGGTAATAGTAGCTTAAAAAAAAATAGTGCTTCTCTATTTGATATCCTTCCCTTCAGAAAAGTAGGTAAGCTAATGTAAGAATGTGCATATCTTCCCTTTCCTGTAAAGCGGTGCTTCTTAACTAGAGAACTTTTAAATTTCTTTTTATTTACTTTTTTATTCAGGTATAACTTACTACTATGGAAGGTTCAGATCTTAAGTATACAGTTCAGTATAGTTTTATATATCCATCTCTATCTACATATGGAAACAGAAGTCTGTGTACCTGCTGCTCAGATCAAGAAGTGGAACATTTCCAGCCCCCTAGAAGGCTTTTTCATTCTTTTTCCCAGTAAAAACCCAGAAAAAAAGCCCAAACGTAACTATGATTTTGCTTCTATAACCAGAGATTAGTTTTGCCTATACATGAACTTCATATAAATAAAACCACTGAATCTGGCTTCTTTTTTCCAATAGAAGTCTGTGAGATTCATCCATGTAGCATGTAGTGGGAGTTCTTCATCTTCTGTAGCATTCCATTGTGTGAATAGATCCCAAATTACGGATCTCTTTGAATGTTGATGGGCATTTGGGTTGTTTCTAGTTTTTAATGCAAATAAAGCTACTGTGAGCTGTGCTATATATGTATCTTTTGATGGACATGAACACTTAGTTCTTGTGGGTGTGTACCCATGGGTGGAATCCCTACATCATAGGTTATGTACCATTTGTTTTCCTACCAGCCATGTAGGAGACTTCCAGGTACACTACATTCTCACTTCATTTGGTATTGTCAGTCATTAATTTTAGCCATTCT